GCATCGGAATAAATTTTACACTCATAAATTTTTAGGGACTAATTTGGAGTTTTTATATTATTGTAGTGGCTCCTAGTTGCAATTTATGTATGAAGGGTATTTTTGGAAATTTTTATTTCTGTAACTATTCTGTAAGTGAATAGTTCTGTAAGTATATCTTTTTCCTTCTCAGCTGGAGGGAGAGTAGTCTTCAGATGGAATACCCTACACTTAGCCTCGGCTTCACTTGCACTAAATTCAAATCAAAACTACGTCACCATAAAATGTGTAATTGACATTGTATATTAAAAGATCAATTTTATTGAGATAAATAGTTTCAACCCTTTTATATGGGTATATATTTCGGTATTTAATCTGATGTGAACCCACGTACCAATTGAAACTACAAAATCCACATCGTATTAGATCAAATCCAAGAAAGCCAATAATCATCATTTGAAAAGCTCGACCTGATAAATCATTAAACCAAAGAACCAAGACAATCGTCAAAAATATCTTGATCGCGTGATCACAAAACTTATGAGCCATACTTAAATTGTTAAACGTCACAAGAATTTAATTCTTGATAAATTCGGAATTAATTCAATGAAGAACGAGTTGAAAGCAATATATTTCGCAATAATATCTCTCAAATTATGTGTTTTACAATTAAAAGAATAATACTATATATAGGGAATCCATAAAACTCTAGTTAAAAAGGGAATTGAGCCTAAAAGCTATAAAAAAAGATACCATAAAAAGAATTTTAACTAAAATAGAAGTCTAGACAAAATTCGAAAAAAAAAAATCCAAAATTGTACCATGAGGCCGCATTGTGAACTTGTATGCGGCCAGATAGGCCATTCGACTGCCTTCAGTTTGGTTCGGTATAGCTGCATGCCTAATTACTCTATTCGATCACATAGATCTAATCTTCAGCTCTCCTGTCCATTGCTTGAACCAAATTCCGGCATGCTATCATAGTCACCCTCATTATAACTCACCACTTCTCCCTTGTCTCGCAACATTATCGCCATTTTGTTTGGACATTAAGAAGCAATGTGTCTCGATCCTAAGCACGTAAAGCATTTGATATCTCGATTCCTATGTGGATCTGCCTTGTGTGTAATTTTACTAGAAACTTCCTCTCTTCCCTTCGATGCATCAGTCTACTCTTTGAAACAACTACATCATCTCTATTGTTGTCCCACTTCGATTTTCAAGAAGGATTAAAACCTGAAGAACCCTATGGATATCTAGCTGCCCCCTTACTCTTCAACTGCCTCTCAACCTTCATAATTTATTTACTATAGTGCAATTATTTTATACTTGCCCTTGAACGTAACCTAAATTTGGTGAACCACGTAAATATTTATGTCCACTTTTAGTGGTATTTTTCTAAATTCACTTTAGTTGTAAGCCACCTTGACCCATATTTTTTCTAAGATTGGTATCAGAATGAGGTTTTGTGTAGGGTCGTTTACTATTTTCATACATGGTACTATTTTTAGTAGTAATAAAATAGTAGTGGTGAACAAAATGGCTACAAAGTATGAGATTGAGAAGTTCAATGTGAACACTTGTCATCGTGAAAAATGAAATTAAAAGCAATTTTGAGAAAAAGATAACTTCTTTGAGACAATTGGACAAAGATGTGAACACTGCACTTTTTTTATGGAGAACTTAAGAGAATT